TTACATATTTAATGATGAACTGCAGAAAACAATACAAAATACAAAAGGTTAATTATTAACTGAAAAAGAAATCATCAATTGTCGATTGTTTAGCATTCTTTCGAAGCAAGTCATTTACGAATCGCTCATAATCATAATGTTTATGAAAGTGTTCCGCGTCGGCTTTGTTTTGCACACCTAGCCGTAAGACTCGAAGTGCCTCCCTCATCTGAGCAGGCGTCGGAATTTTGTCCTCGATAGCACTTTCGGGTCCATCATCGGCATCAGAATCTTGTGACGAAGCTGGATCTTTGACACATACGGCTTCACAAATGTCCTCATCAGTTAACGAAGTAGAAGTCTCAACCTTCTCGTCGATCTGCATCTATGCTTCAAAATCTTCAGCATTCATATCGGGCGGGGGATTGAAAACGTCTTCCATTTCTTTCATTACAGCAGCATTGTTGTCCTCTGGTTGACAAAATCCTCCATGACTAAAACAATTTCGAATTGTTCTTTCCGAGACATTATTCCATGACATTGTTAACAAATGTATGGCATCCAAAACATTTGTTTTTTTGGCTAGAGCGTTCGCATTAAGATCTTCAACGTCTTGGTCTTCGATATTTTCTAAGATCCTTGAACGCATTTCCTTTCTGTAATATGCCTTCAAGGTGGGGATAATTCCCTGGTCATACGGTTGAATTAAAGAAGTGGTGTTCGGTGGTAAGAACACGATATTTATCTTTTTTAATGAAACAGTTACATCATGCGCAGTGCAGTTGTCTATGAGCAGGAGTATGTTCCGTTTTAGTCGCTTGTCCCATTTCAACAGCCATTCGTTAAAGATGGTGGTAGTCATCCACGCCGTTTTGTTGGCAAAATAATCGACGGGCAGATTTTTCACACCTTTGAAACAGCGGGGCTTCTTACTTTTTCCAATCACTAAAAGTTTTTCTTTAGTGCCGGTCATACTAGCGCAACATAGCACAGTTAGGCGCTCCTTGGAGGTTTTACACCCTTGCGTACTTTCCTTCTGAAACATGTAGGTGTGTTCAGGCAACGCACGAAAATATAGGCCAGTTTCATCTGCGTTATATACATCTTCATGTGATTATATGGCAATAAGTTTAGGCCATTCTTCTTTAATCCACTGATCTGCGGCTACATTATCGGCATCTTTTTGTTCACCATGTGTCCTTCAGAAGAGTATGTTCTGCCTCTTTTTCCAGCGGTGGAACCATCCTTCTGTGGCTACGAAGTTTCCTTTACCCAATTTTGCAACTATATCTTCAGCTTTTTGGCGCAAAATTGGACCATTAACNCGGAAGAGTATGTTCTGCCTCTTTTTCCAGCGGTGGAACCATCCTTCTGTGGCTACGAAGTTTCCTTTACCCAATTTTGCAGCTATATCTTCAACTTTTTGGCGCAAAATTGGACCATTAACACGAGCGTCCCTCTCCCGAACGTTTGTGAACCAGAGTTTTAATGCAGATTCAACCTCTTTGCCTTTTCCATCTCGATTTCTTTTACAATTCAGATTTTCGTTCAAAGTGCACTTTTTTTCGATATCTTCACAATTTTTTAAAATTTTGCACAAAAGCGGCTGCGAAACTTTCAATTGAACAGCAGCATTCCTTTGACTCATTTTTGGCAATTTATCGTAACGATTTAAAATGTCAACCTTTTCTTTCACAGTAAGATCTCTCCGTTTTCTTTCCATTATAAAAAACAAATCAGGTTACAAACCGTATGAACTATGGTAAAGTGAAAATGTATGCTGATCCGTATACATGCGTATACGGATCAGCATACATACATCTACATGCGTCTTTTAAGCACTTAGATGAGGCAGTTTCACTACCCCCCCAATTTTATTGTTTGACCAATAGCGACTGGCTAAGCGACCTGCCAAGGTCAAGTGGCATACCCGAAACAATGTTCTCTTTTGAAGGTCACCCCTTACCCCCCTACCATAGTGGCTGGGACATATCATCTGTCACATTGTTTAGTTCTTCTAAAAAGGGGCTCGTGACAAACATTGACTTGTTAGTGGCAGGTCTTCTTTTCTCTTTATTTAGGATTTCCGGGAATTTGAAATAGCACAGTGCTACGGAATTTTACAATACTTTACCGAAAATGGCAAAATACCCCCCCCCCTCATAATAACACGTGTTTAAAAGATAATATACGAGCCCCGTTTGGATTTTTGGTAAGTTTCGGGAAACACTTCACAAAACACAAAAAAAAGTTTTCCTTCTTGTTTTTATTGATTTCAGGAAAATAAAATTTACCTCTAAACTGATAACAATAAACGAACATTTGATTACAATAAACGAGGATTTTTCAATGTATTTTGATCTAAGCGGACGGGACTAAGCGATTTTGATAACATTAAACGTTTGATAACATTAACCGTGATCACATTNATTTTCCGATTTTTTTCCGGTTCTTTAAATAAAATTTCATCATTTTTTTTTTTAAACTGTTGCTTGTTATTTTTTTACTTATTATTCCCCCCCTTTTTTTTCTTTTCACATGACTATAATTTTTCTTTGTTTTATTCTACATTTTGAACTTATATATATATAGTGGAACTTGTCTAAAGTGACCACCCTCAAGACCAAGTCAAAAGGTCAATATATATAGAGGTGGTCACTTTATGAAGACTCTTTAAAAAGGACAATATACATAGGGTTAAATGCACATTCGAAAAACTGAACTATATTCAGTAATAATTTAATTAATTAACAACCCAAATAACTAAAATAGGTTTATCACATGAAAGATAATTAACATAAAACTCACCTCATTTCTTTTGGTATTAGTTGGAGAACTTCCGTAGTAATCGATTTAAATAACATATAATGACAAAATGCACTTTAATTAATACTTGTTTTTATTTTGGTTAATTATTCATAACATTTTCATTACAAGCTATAACAAAACATTCATTAAAAAATTCTACAAATTTTAATGAAATTCCACTTACAGTAAAAAATTCAGAAATTTTTCGTTGCCTAAAACACTTCTCTTCAACAATTATTTTTTCAATCATTCCTTTAAAATTCCGTAATAAATCTAACATTTGTGGACAGTTTCTTAGGACCTACGTTTTCATGTTCTTGCACATCTTTAACATTTCTGCTTCGGAAAATTCATCATTTTCTTCCATTTGAACTTCCTCTTCATTAACACAATCTTCTTCGTGTTTTTCATTTATAAACATATCGGAATCTTGATCAACGGAAGTATCGCATGTAGGTATATCACAGTCAAAAGCAGCACAGTGAATGCGCAAGTTTACTCTTAGAATTTCTGAGAACATATGATAAAAGGAACCCTTTTTAAAAAAGGGTGGGAGGTACGCAGTCCCATCTCCCCATCTTCAAAAACCAGTTTCTTACACATCTTAGATGAGCAGAGGAAAGAGAAGGTCACCTTGGACAGGTGCAAATGTCATTAAAAAGAAGGATGAACTAGTCACTTTACACGTTCAGCAGGTGGTCACTATAGGTAGGTGGTCACTATAGGAGATAAATTCCTATAGTCTGCCTAAGCTAGGAACTCCTCCCGCCACAAACTCTGAGGCCGTCTGGTGCTGTGGAATCAAGAATGGCTCATTTTAGGGAGGGTAGTTTCACTCTAGTACTAACACAATAGACAGAAGAAAAAGATTCCCTTTCTCCCGCTGACCCGAGCAGAAATCCCTCCAAAACAGTGACCCCGCACCCCTAATTGAAATAGTCATACCTCGTTACCATAGTCACCACCACAGGTCCAGATGAATGTCTGGTGGAGTTCTTATTTTAGACAAACACATGTACTTCTTAAGGAGGAAAATAAAGCTGGTAGAAAATGGTCTCCACTCACTTTACCCAGATGGTCACTTTTACAGGTTCCACTGATATATATATACAATCAGTACCTACTCTTCAGAAGAAAAAAAAATTCAAAACTATAAAGAAAGACAAAACAATTAACAAAAATGGGTAAAATGAGTAAAGCGAACATATATGTTCTTTCATGTTTTTATACAACATAACAAAAATAACCATCATTGTTGTCTGATAACCTTGGTGAGTCATGATATAGTAGCGAATGCAATTTTGTGAATGCAGTTGGCGCAACCAGGAAGTTCACAAGGTCTTTAAAAGAGTCAAGCCTGATCTGGATCAGTTCACTTCAGCTCTAAAATGCTTCCAGATTTTTGTGTATGACTGCCGTCATATACACGGAACTTATCATCGCTTTAAAACCACATTCACAGCTAAATCGGACAGCCATTTTCATTGTTCGACCCATCTTTGAGTTGTAGCTTTCTTACACAGATTCCTTTTTTATTTGATATTCTCATATTGTAGATTCACTGATTGATTGTGGGTCATATTTGTTGGAAAAATCGAATCAAAACCAGCTTCAACTTAAAGATGTGTTAGCTCACCGTAGTATATTTCAAGAGGATTGGACGGATGTGGAGATGTGTCCATTCCTAACCCTTAGTTTTGCAACTCACTCTATTCACCTCTAAAAAGCTCAAGTATACTGGCAATTCGCCATTTTATACGTTTAAAGTTATTAGATACAACTAAACCCACTGATTTCAATTTTCTTCTATTGATCAGTAACTTGGAACTGCGTACTAAATCAGCAATTAGTACTCAGCAGCAATACTTGATCCAGGAGTTCCATGGTCTTCTGGTTTGGGTTCAAAATTACAAGGCTACGGAAGCTAAATTGGGTCGGCTGTTCAATGACGGTTATAAAATAATAAAATAAACAGGACTGCTGTTAACGACCTTGGTTTGATTTGGATCATCGGATAAATTCGTCACTGAACAGCTGTTTACATTAGATTCGACACCGCAAGGAAAAGTAACCAACTCTTCATGCTCGTGGCCCGCTCATCCTAAGTTATTCCGAAGTAAACCCTTAACCAATTTCACCCTAGGCTTTCAGCATCCACCATACCACACACCACGCAGAAGGTTAAAATGCAATCCTAATTTGAAGAAGCAGAACAATTGATTTGAGCAGAACTTTTCAATTTAAGCTATTAAGAGCTCTTAAAGTTCCACAAAAATCTGTAGCATTGTCTATGTGTATCACTAATGGTCGCCCTTTTCTTACAATAAATCATCGTATAGCTTGAATTAAAATCGCAGTCGAAAGGGTCGTAACTATAGTTCGTCTATTGTAAGAACTCACCCCGCCGCAAAGTCTGAGGCAGTCTGCTGCTTTGAAAACAAGAATAACACATTTCAGGGGAAGGTAGCTCCTTTTCACTCTAAGGCTAACACAGTAGGCCGAAGAAAAAGATTCCCGTTCTCTAACCGACCCTAGCAAAAACATGTCCTAAACAAAAATGACCCCACACCCCTACTTGAAATAGTTATACCTCGTTACCATAGCCACGGATCAAGACGAATGGCTAGGGGAGTTCTTACTTTAGACAAACGATAGTTCTAGATGCACGGTTCTGTACACACCACTAATGAAAAGTACTATCCATACTTTACTCCTATCTTATAAAAGTAATGGTGCAGCTAAATCTATTCTAGACACCTTAAAAGCAGCAACTTTATTCACTCTATGTGGTGGCAATGGAGGAGTTAGAACATTTGTTGGTTTTGTTCTATATTGCCTGCATTGTTGTCATTCCTGTAAAACTTCTCGAATAATTCTCCGAGCACGAGTAAACTCTCTCCTAAATAAGACAAGGTAGTTTGTACAGTAAGCAAAATAAAAAACGGACCACCCTAAGTAACTTTTGATCGAATGATTGGATCTTCACGTTCTAAGACTCAATCTTAATGGTTCGAAGGGGTAACTTCAAATAGAATAAACAAGTGCAGACGATATTGTAAGTTATGAAATCAGACACAAAAACGTTCTTTTTCTGGATAAACATACCCTTTTTCGACAGATTCGAATTTCTGACCCCCAAAATATAGGGAGTAGTCACAATCTAGG